ATTGGTTCTGGTTGGACATTAACGGAAATCATCAACTTGATGGTCAATATCAATAGATATGAACCTCTCAAAGGTGAAGCCCCAACATTCATCGAGTTACCGAAGGATATTCAAGCTAAGAAAGCAGTTGTTAATATAAAAAATAGTGATCAGTTTTGTTTCTTGTGGTAAGTTACAGCAGCTTTACATCCAACGCTAGTGAACGTAACTCTACCAAGTTCCTACCCTCATTTTCGTAATGTGCTCAAATATGAGGGACTCGATTTTCCAATGAAACTCAAAGGTATATCCAAGTTTGAGGAGATGAATGATCTGAAGATCCATGTTTATGGGATTGAACCATGCGGTCGTAAGAACTCAATCTTCCCTGTATATTTGAGCAAGAGAATCATCGATCGAGAGACAATCCACCTACTAATGTTTGAAAATAATCAGGATGAATCAGACAAATCACTTTTTCATTTCGCATAGATCCGTAATTTGTCACGTCTGGTTAACTCTCAGATCTCTAAACGCAGAGGTTTCACATGGTTATGTGATCGATGTCTCTGTCACTTTAGACATCATCACTCGTTTGAGAAACACAAAGAAGATTGTATGAACTTGAATAAAGTACGGATGATAATGCCTCAAGAGAAGGATAAAATGCTTAGCTTCGAAAATTTCAAACATGCTGAAGCTGTACCATTTGTTGTCTATGCAGACTTAGAGTATATCATAGACTCAACAGAAGATGATCATCATATTCCCCATAGTGCTGCATTCTACGTGAAATGTGCTTTCGATGATTCACTATTGGAATTTAAAATCCATCGAGATGTCAATTGTATTGAGTGGTTCACAACAGATATGACATCGTTGGCGTATAAAGTAGATGACCATTTGAGGAACAATATGAAAATGGAAACATTGACAGATCAACAAATGAATGACTTCCAAACTGCATCGATATGTCATATCTGTAAGAAACACTTCATCAAAAGCGATAAGGTTCGAGATCATAATCATCTAACAGGAAAATATCGTGGAGCTGGGCATAACAGTTGCAATTTAACTTATCAAGATTCTCACACCATTCCGATCGTATGACGGAATGATCATAAGCAGATAATCAAGAAATATCAGCGGCGGAACGTGAAAATCTGAGGTGTTGAGTATGAGTAAGAGATTTGGAGGGGAGGGGGGGGGGGGGATTGGGGGGGGGGGGG